TAGGGGAAGGTGGCCCTGCCCGGGGCAGGGGTTGGAGCTGGAGGAGCTTTAAGGTCCCTTCCAGCCCAAAGCAGTCTGTGATTCCATGATCCCGTGGTACTGCTTGCTCGACTGTAGCTGCTCACACACTGTGGTTCCGTTCCTGACTCCTCACAGCAGTCTGCGCTACACCCGTGGTTCCAGCAGCACAGCATGCAAAAAACTTCTGGTTTATTTTGGAACCAAAGGAAGTTAAGTGTATTGCTTGCAAATTTTGAAAATACCTAATTCCAGTCATAACAGGAAACTAATCTAATACACAATGCTAAACAGCAGGCCCCAAATCGGATATTGTGTGAGCCTACTGCCCCATCTGATGCCAAAGCACCAGATTTTAATTCATCCGTTTAATGTTTTTGGCCCAAATACGTTTGCCAGTAACACAAAAGGAAACGTGTAAAATAGGTTATTTATGGGGAGAAGGGGGAAATCAGAGAGAAACAGGTCAGAACCGAGAAGTCCACAGAAGCTGAGCTGCAGGTTTAGGCCTGGAGAGCTGCTAAGATTTGCCTTGGGTGTTCCAGACAAGTAGCATTTCAGGTGGCCACAATTAGGAATAAATTTGCGAAACTAAAGAACACCAGTTCCAAAAACTTACTTGAAATGTAAGCTGGCCAAAACCAGCATTAGTAATAAAGGGGTTTATTTCCAGAAAGTTAAAAGGACAGCTTCAGTATCCTACAGTTTCAGACTAAACATTAAACGCAACTTCCTACATAGTGTGGGAAGGCAGAGAAGAATCACTCTTTGCTGACACTTCCCAGGCACGATTACATGCTGTAAGGATGCCAGCAGGTATTTTAGTGGCACTGCCACACAGAGTGCATACTTTACCAGCCTGCTGTACTGCCAGACCTTGCAGAGAGCTGGATGAACAGCAAGGAAAGGACACCACTGCTCTATTCCAGGGAAAAGCTCCTTCCTGCTCCCTTCAACTGTCCGTGAGGCCACAAGTGTCAGCAGCTCCTTTCAGCTGACCCAGTTCTGCAGAGTTACACACTGGCCTCCAGCTCACACCAGGCCACAAGCAGCTTCCATTACACCACCCCTTACACGGGGCTCTCCAACCAGGTCAGCACCTCTGCAGAGCCTTATCCACAGGCAGCCTCCATGCTGCCCCTGCACTTGGGTTCGGATCAGCTCTGTCACCCACGGCATCTCCAGAGGGAGCTGCCAGCACCTGCCCAAGCACAACTTCTAGGGCTCTATGCAAAAAGCAACAGTGCCTTTGGCTCCGAGGAGCCCTGCAGCCCCTGCCCGGCACTACCACCTCGTGGGGCTCCAGCTGGGAACTGCAGACTCATGAGAGCCAAGAGGCACAAGCCAAACCCTGGATCCGTACCACCTGAAGGTCCCCTCACACTGCCGCTGCCAGCACAACGCTCATTTGACTACGCTCTCTTGCAGAAGGCACCAGGCGCCGAGTGCGCGCATCTCCTGCCCCAGCCTGCCGGGAAGGCTTCACACCTCTGAGCACAGTTTCAAGTCTGTCTGGTTTCAGTGGCCAATTAAGCAGTCAGCTCTTGCCTACTAGTTTAATACACAGCATTAAAAGACACTTTCCTTGTGCCCTTGCTTACACAGAAGAATCGTATTGCCGCTAGCATATCAGTCTTTTGGATATCCCAGACAGTTTTTCATTCATGGCATTGCCTCTTTTCCAGAGTCTTCTTCCTGGCACACTCATTTTCTGAGTCACTTTTGCATCTCTTCTAGTTCTAAAAAACAAATTTACATCCTTTACATAGGGACACTAACAGCAGACCTTAATGCTTACTGTGTCTTGCCTACTATGGCTGACACGGATGGTGATCTCCCCAGAGATCTCCCCCAGAACCCCCTCTATGTACCCAGGAGAGCTGTTTACCCATCCCAAGCACAGCAGCACATGGGACTTTCACCGAAACATGTTCCCATTACACCCACGGTTCCTTCTCAAGATTAGCAGTGTTCAAGGCCAGGTTGGACACAGGGGCTTGGAGCAACCTGCTCTAGTGGAAGGTGTCCCTGCCTGTGGCAGGGGTTGGAGCTGGATGAGCTTTAAGGTCCCTTCCAACACAAACCAGTCTGGGATTCTATGATCCGGCCAGCACAACAGATGTAGGCTGTACAGGCTGCAAACCCAGCTATTCCAGAGCATGTAGAGCCAACTAAATCACATTCTTCAAAATGCACCCAGGAAATGTGTGATCCCAATCTGCTTATCGCTGCTTATCATCCCTCCAGCTCCAGAATGCATACCTCCCATGTCAAAAGGCAATTGATCCAGTTATTCCAAAATACTGAGTAACATCAGCACTACAGAGAGCCCATTAGAAACACGTCATCTGGATGAAGCAGTCCTCAAAAGAAAGAGGGGGAGGAAAAAAAGGAGGCATGTAAGAAAAACCTTGTACGGATGGACTCAAGTAACTTTGGATGTTTATTATGGCTTCTTGAAGAGTAAATTAGAGGGGGAAATGTCTGCCTCCTACCAAAGTAACGCTCAGAAAAGCCACTATGATGAAGTCTTAGAACCACATACACAAACAAGCCTTCCAAACCACCACCAGCTATCATAGGGTGTTCACCACCACATTGCCACCTGCACAGGGAGCAAGAGGCTCCTGCTGGAAAAAATCTGGCGCCTTGAACGTACTTCTGACTGCTCTTTAGAGCCAGCTTTGTTTCTGAAGCTGAAACCAGGCCAGGCCAGCACTTCCCTTGAGCAGGGCATTAGCCACCACCCAAATAAAAAGATATACATATCTGATTTGACTGGTAGTATTCTAGCCATATTGCAACATGCTTCTAAATCATTCAAGTGCATAAGCAAATTTTGTCTTTAGGATGTTCACCTTCCAACCCAACCCATTCTATGACCTTCCTCCCTTCACTCCCTACATTTTTGGCAACTTACCTTCTTGTGCTTTGACATCTGCAAGGCTGCATTCCTCTTGCTCTGCTTCAGTGCTCTGTTTAATGTTCTCTACTTCCAGCCAAAAACTGTCCATTGACAAGTTGTCCAAAGACTCTACCCTGGAATTCGTGCCCTCTGACACCGGGGATGCCAAAAGACTCTTTGGAAGAAGCTGGCTCATTTTGCAAAGGCAATTTCTGGTACTGAGAGAGCAAGAGAGAAAGAAAGACATTAAGCTACATGTATTCACATATGGCATTCACACTACAGCAGCCTTCATTGATTAATGACTGCAATAAAAGCCAAACAGAGGTAAGTGCTAGACTTCCTTTGGTTAGCATCTAGCAATAGCAGACAAGGTTGTGATCAAATTCCCTAGAAAATGGGAAAATCTGCTGTCCAAATATGTGAAAGGATAGAGCATCAACATGGGTTTTCCAATGCTGTCATTCAATGACCTTCAAGACACCCCCTACGACTCCCACACTTGATTCCAAGACTTCCCTGTAAACTTGCACAGATACCCTCAACATTCAGAGTAAACCAAGACGTTTCAGCCTTGGTGCACGTGTGCTCTGGTTTTCTGGCACGCACAGCAAGCGACAACTCCCAGCCACAGGGGACTGAACCCAGTAGCAAAAGCCGGCACAGCTCCTTCTCCTGCATTTCAGATCATTCAATAAGGTTGGGTGTTTGAGGCCCTCTTTTCCTGCCCACACCAGGTTTTTAGCTGTGAAACCCAAAGAGACAGAATTTTCTAACCACCTTGCTGATTAACTCATGGGCAACCGAAGTCCCAGAGTGGCCTCATTCAGCTTTCAACCTCTGTGCAGAAAGTTGTGAGGTTGCCATCAATTCATAGAATAATACCTCTCCTAAAATGAATTTTAATTTTCTTCAAAGGGCTCCAAGCCATTTAAACCTGGCTCGATCTGGTGTAATAGCTTTTTAAAGACTTAAAAACAAAGTAAAAATGGGAAATTACAACAAAATGCCTACAAAATGCAATTTAGCTCCTAACTCTAGAAGGGCTTAGAAAGTTAGAGATGGCAAAATATCTGCAAAATTTTAGCTCCTTTCATTCCAGAAAGCCATTATTAGCATTTTCATTCCAGAAAGCATTATTAGCTACTATTCTGGCACTAGCTTGCTTGTTATAAGAATCCCAGACTGGTTTGGGTTGAAGGGACCTTAAAGTTCATCCAGTTCCAAGCCCCTGCCACGGGCAGGGACACCTTCCACTAGAGCAGGTTGCTCCAAGCCCCTGTGTCCAACCTGGCCTTGAACACTGCCACGGATGGGGCAGCCACAGCTTCTCTGGGCACCCTGTGCCAGCGCCTCAGCACCCTCACAGGGAAGAGCTTCTGCCTCAGAGCTCATCTCAATCTCCCCTCTGGCAGGTTCAAGCCATTCCCCTTGGCCTGTCCCTACATCCCTTGTCCAAAGCCCCTCTCCAGTTTTCCTCCAGCCGCTTTAGGCCCTGGAGCTGCTCTAAGGTCTCTCTGGAACCTTTGCTTCTCCAAGGTGATGCAGCCCAGCATCACCTTCTTATATGCTGACGCAGCCCAGCATATGGTTGGCTTTCTGGGCTGCAAGCATACACTGCCAACTCATTTCAACTCATAAAGAGCTAAAGTTGAAGATCTAACAACTAACAGACATGTGTTGTAGTATATTCTCACTTGTATTTACACATATGCATGCATACTGTGCTCATACCCTTTTTCAACACGCACATAGACACCCCTTCCCTTGTGAAGGTCAGAACAAAAGCAATAAGCATCATTCCAGGAACATCTGGAGCCAGCCACAGCATTGAGAACAAGAACAAGGAGGGTTGGTTTGTTTGTTTTAGAGGAACACAAAAGTGAAAGATTGAAAATAGCTATTACACCACCCAGCCCACCTCTGATAAGGGCAGAGGCGATCTGCTTTCTTAGCATCCACTTTTCCCACCACCCCACTTTCCTTTTCCTGGATATCCAAATAACAGGCCTCCAGGTGAGATGCCACTTTATAGCCTGGCAGAGCACTCAAATAGTCAATTTAAGATTCTGATTTTTTTCAACCTACATAGTTCATGCCCATCTCCCTCAGTTCTATTACAGTTACCATCTCAAATCACCGTTTCCCCTTTCAAGTTTTTATTTGTATCTTTACCCACTAGGAGTTAAAAATTTAGATCACATCCTTCACATTAACTCTTCATCTTTAGTACCCCTCTCCATTTTCTCACATTTGCTTTAAACAAAGCCAGCTTGCTAACATCAAAAAGACATTTAATACCTGGCCATGACATCTCACTAGAATTTGTTACACACCAGTCAACAGAAATCATCACTTGCAACATGAAACGGACTAGGAGGATGATTTTATATTATCTTGAGGGATTTGGCTTTGACCATATCAGTGCCAGAAACACTAGAGCCAAACTTGCACTAAAGAGAAGTCTCCCAGCAAACAACACTACAGAGGCTAAGGAACCATCTTACAGGCTCTCTTAATTGCTCTACTGAAGGCACACAACCACTCTTCTTGCCCTAAGTTACTGCCCTATACTACTGGGGATCTAGGTACTGATCAAAGCAGCTCTAACACATACCTTTCCTTCATGTTCAGCTTGGTTGAAAGCTGGCTCATCTAATACAGCTTACAGAAACCTCCATGGGTTCACACCAAAACAGAATGTAGGCTTGCAGCTCCAGCAGAACCTACCCTAAACCTGAGCAGCACAGGTCTGCAGCAAGCCTGTGTCACACACAGCTATGACAGTCCCTTCCCCACACCTGCCACATGCCTGCCTGGAAAAATAACCCAAAATATTAAGCCAACATAAACAGTGTCTTCAGGTGGTTCAAAAACAGCGACTCTTGACTGTGATGTTGTGTGAGACTTACCCAGATACGAGGTTCTGAATGCAAGTTTTAGTCCAGGAGATACTACAGCCAAGTGGAGTAATACTTATTTAAGGCATTAGGGCATATTCCTGGTGCACATTTGAGAAGGATCACAACATCCTTACAGTCCTGGCTTCAGGCTATAGACTCGCAAACAGCTGATTTTGATCTAACCAGCACCTTCAGTCCACATCAACACAACAGAGTACTAGTGCAAGGATATAGTTCTGC